GCAACCTCTGCCTCCTGGGTTCAGGCAATTCTCCTGCCTCAGCCTCCTGAGTAGCTGGGATTACAGGCACACGCCACCATGCCCAGCTAATTTTTTGTATTTTTAGTAGAGACAGGGTTTCACCATGTTGACCAGGATGGTCTCGATCTCTTGACCTCGTGATCCACCCGCCTCTGCCTCCCAAAGTGCTGGGATTACAGGCTTGAGCCACCGCGCCCGGCCTTTACCTTTCTTTTTGTGCTCTTATAGATCATTTCGATTTTTTTCTTTACCAAGTGATTCTTGTAATTGTTTAAAAATAGTTTAATAAAAATCAACTATGGCATAATTCATATAGTCATGCCCTATATAGCAGTTAAAAAGAAATGAGGTAGGGCTAGATATACTAATATATGGAAAAATGCCCACAATGTATCTGTAAGTGAAAAAAGCTAATTGCAAGGAAGGAAAATGTATGGGTTTCTGGCTGGGCGCAGTGGCTCACACCTGCAATCCCAACACTCTTGGAGGCTGAGGCAGGAGGATCACCTGAGGTCAGAAGTTCAAGACAAGCCTGGCCAACATGGTGAAACCGTCTCCACTAAAAATACAAAAATTAGCCAGGCGTGATGGCGCATGCCTGTAATCCCAGCTATCTGGGAGGCTGAGGCAGGAGAACTGCTTGAACCCAGGAGGTGGAGGCTGCAGTGAGCCAAGAGCACACCACTGCATTCCAACCTGGGCAACTGAGCAACACTCTGTCTCGATAAATAAATAATAAAATAAAATGTATGGGTTTCAATGTCTGTGTGTTTTGTGTCTACCTGTGCTAGTAAATACCTGGGCATGTTTGCATATATGTGTGTTTATGAATACGTTAAATAGTTACTTGTGTATGCATAAAAAGCATCCAGAAGGTTCACATGAAAATATTTACAATGCTGGCTTCTGTTGAGTGAAAATAGGGGGACAAGTGACATGCCTGGGTGAAAAATGGAAAATATAAACTCTATATATCTTGAGAAAAAGCATTTTTGAGAAAATAAATTATCAAATTGTTAGCTTAAAAATTACTAGTTTATTTACTAGGATGTTAACAGCAGTTTACTATGTAAACTTACCTTGAAGGGTTCCAAGAAATACAACTACAGCTTAGCTTACATGAGATCTCATGCTGCAAAGACCACTGGCTGAGATTCATAACATCTGGTGCCTCATATATTCTTACTATACCATCCGCTGAACAGGTTGCTAACATAAGACCCATGTGCTTGGGAGCAAACTTCACATCAGTAACAGATGTTCTGCTATCCACCAGAGTTGTCCTTTTAACCTAAAAAAAATAATTAAATTACAAAAAGAAAGCATGGTAGAGTGGAAAAGACACATACACTTTGGAAACACACAGAACCTCCTCTGTCATTCACTAGGTATATAAGCTTGGATACATGTCTATGCCACAATTTCCTACAAGCACATGGCAAAATACCATATACACAGCTGGCAACCACTAACAAATTAGTGAGCCAAAATTAATTACTCCCTTTAATACAAAAAAAAAAAAAAAACTACCTCTGAAAGCCTAACTTTATCATATAAGTAATCTCTCTTAAGCAGACGTCACAAAAACCAGAAACCGTTAAAATTTTCGGACAAGTAGTTTCGTCATACAAAGCATGCTGCAAGCATTAGATCCTTTAAATAGAAAATGAGCCAGGCACAATGGCTCACACCTGTAATCCCAAAACTTTGGGAAACCAAGGCAGGCAGATTGCTTGAGCTCAGGAGTTCAAGACCAGCCTGGGTAACATGACAAGATACCGTCTCTACTAAAAATACAAAAAAAATTGCCAGGTATGGTGGTGCACACCTGTAGTCCCAGCTATTCCAGAGGCTCAGGTGGGAGGATCACTTGAGTCAGTGGGGCAAGTTACAGCGAGCCAAGATTGTGCCACTGCACTCCAGCCTGGGCGACAGAACAAGACCCTGTCTCAAAAGGAGAAAAAAAAGGCCGGGCGCGGTGGCTCAAGCCTGTAATCCCAGCACTTTGGGAGGCTGAGGTGGGTGGATCACAAGGTCAAGAGATCGAGACCATCCTGGTCAACATGGTGAAACCCCGTCTCTACTAAAACTTCAAAAAATTAGCTGGGCATGGTGGCGCGTGCCTGTAGTCCCAGCTACTCAGGAGGCTGAGGCAGGAGAATTGCCTGAACTCAGGAGGCGGAGGTTGCGGTGAGCCGAGATCGCGCCATTGCACTGCAGCCTGGGTAACAAGAGCGAAACTCCGTCTCAATAAAAAAAAAAAAAAAAAAAAAGGAGAAAAAAAGCCAGTAAATGGAAGGCATGCAATTTCTTCTCTCAAGTTTCTTTTAATCCCATTTGGACCACTATTACTCATTTTTTTTTTTCCTTTGGGACAGGGTCTTGCTCTGTCACCCAGGCTGGAATACAGTACCATGGATCATGGCTCACTGGCAGCCTTGAACTTCTGGGCTCAAGTGATCCTCTTGCCTCAGCTTTCCCAATGACTGTAACTACAGGCACCTGCCACCATGCCCAGCTAATTTTTCTTTTTTTTTTTTTTTTTTGGGACGGAGTTTCACTCTTGTTACCCAGGCTGGAGTGCAATGGCGCGATCTCGGCTCACCGCAACCTCCGCCTCCTGGGTTCGGGCAATTCTCCTGCCTCAGCCTCCTGAGTAACTGGGATTACAGGCATGCGCCACCATGCCCAGCTAATTTTTTGTATTTTTAGTAGAGACGGGGTTTCACCACGTTGACCAGGATGGTCTCGATCTCTTGACCTCGTGATCCACCCGCCTCAGCCTCCCAAAGTGCTGGGATTACAGGCTTGAGCCACCACGCCCGGCTATTTTTCTTATTTTTTTAGAGATGGGGGGGGTCTCACTATGCTGCCCAGACTGGTCTCGAACTCCTGGCCTCAAACAATCCTCCCACCTCAGCCTCTCAAGTTGCTGGGATTACAGGTGTTGAGCCCACTGTGCCCAGCTACCATGCACTTTTAAATAAAGGCATTTAACAGAGGCCAAAAGAGTGGTAGAAAACAAGCATCATGGTCACTATAAAATTCCAACACCACATTTATAGCTATCTTCTGGCACCTAACTTAACATGAAACTTAAACTTAAAACATCAATAAGGCCAGGCACAGTGGCTTCATGCCTGTAATCCCGGCACTTTGGGAGGCTTAGGTGGGTGATCACTTGAGGTCAGGAGTTGAAGACCAGCATGGCCAACATGGTGAAACCCCATCTCTACTAAAAATATAAAAATTAGCCAAGTGCAGTGGCAGGCACCTGCAATCCCTACTACGTAGGAGACTAAGGCAGGAGAATAGCTTGAACATGGGAGGCGGAGGCTGCAATGGGCCAAGATCAGGCCACTGCACTCCAGCCTGGTGAGAGTGAGACTTTGTCTCAAAGAAAAAAAAATCAATAAAGTTTAGAAATCAATAGATTACTGTCTATGGTTACCAAAATGCTTCTTAAAGAGTCTCAATATTAAAAGGATAATATTACATAAACTTCAAAGATAACATCTTAAGCAAACTTTTGTCTACAGACACCACTGAATAATATAAACACAAATGTTGAGAAAATAAATGCATTCGTTACAGTAGGTAGTCAGACATGAGGAGGGCAGCAAAGGACCCCACCCCACCAGGAAAGACAGGTGACCATCAGGTGATGGTCAAGGAGTTGTTTAACTTTCTCTCTAAAATAATCATTGGTCGCAGCAGCACCAGGGAAATGCAGTCTCCCAACAGATATTATCACCTGAAACTGGTGATCAGCAGCTTCCTGATAAGATCTCAGGAGTTGGATGAGTGGGCTCAAGCATGTGCACTAAAAGGCAAAATGGTGGAGTTTAACTGGTCTATGACCTTCTACAAACATTCTGTTAAGCAAAAAACACCTCAAGTGAGCATGTGCACAACTCCAGTAAATACACTGCGCTTGCGGCCCCTCCCAAGCACCAACGGGCCCCTGCACATGCAGACTGTCCACCCCAAGGGAAGAATCAGAGAAGAGACGCAACCCCTGGGAAGCATGCCAACGTGTAACGACCCAAGTCAAAAGTTAAATCGTGCATTTGGCTCTCTCAAGTCACCCACTTGGTCTTCTTCCAAGTATATTTTACTTCCTTTCATTTCTACTCTAAAATTTTTTAACAAATTTCCACCTCCAGCTCTAAAATTTGCCTTAGTTTCTTACTCTGCCTATGCCCCTTGATGGAATTATTTCTTCTGAGGAAGCAAGAAATGAGGTTGCTGCAGACCTACACAGATTCACCACTGCTAATACATTAATGGTGACTAAATACAAATAAATATCTTGAAGATCGAAGAAAAATCCTTCTTATGCCACCCCCAAATCTCACCTATAGTATACTGAACTGACACACCTCAGACTTAATGCCAACAAAATCCTTTCTAATTCTATAAATCCCCATTCTCTCTTCCCCATAAGCAGCTTGCCTTAGAGAAGCCCTAGTGCAAAGACAATCAGACATACTCCTCCCCCTAGAAGAGTCGTAAAACAGTCTGAATAGCCATTCAAGCTACAAAGCTAACATAATTTAAACAGTGTGCTATTGAGACAAGGAGACATACAGGCCAATAGTAACAAAATGGTAACAAAAGAGTCCAAAAATCAATCCTCCATATATAGAGCCAACTAATTTTCAACAAATGTCAAGACCATTAAACAAAACTTTCAACAAATGTCAAGACCATTCAATAGTCTTTTCAATAAATGGTGCTGGGAAAACTAGATTTCAGCACCCTACCATTTTTTAGTGACCGAAATAAATAATTTTTATCAGGTCCTTGCTTGCTTGCACATGTTAACCACTCACTTTTTGTTGAATATCCCTTGTTGCCACAATATAATGATAAACTGTTGTACTGCTTCTTTGTCAAGCAGGAGGAGATAACTTCAGGGTCATGTAAAGAAAAATGTTGGCAGAAGAAATGAATGGCTTTAAGGACATTGTGACTAGCTGCTTACACCCAGATGTCTGGTTGCTCAAGGCATTACCTGAGACTAAAAAAACACAGATTTTTTTAGATTCTCTGAAACTCCCCCTCCCTTACTCTCTAGTTACATAAAACTACCCGCTGCTTCCTTTTGTTAAGACAGATTTGAGAGATCTTGTCCCCCTCCCACCTTCCTGTTTTAGCCAAATCGAATAAACCTTTCTCTATCTCCAAGTAATGGTGACTCAGTATTTGGTCTCAGCTACACACTGTGGATACAAGCCTGAATTCAGGATCCTACAACAATATTAGAAGAAAACACTGGGGGAAATCTTCACAACACTGGATTTGGCAATGCTTTCCTGAATATAACACCAAAAGCATGGGAAACAAAAGAAAAAAACAGATAAACTGGACTTCAAAATGTTTAAATTTTGTGCATCAAAGAATACTATCAAGAGTGAAAAAGACAGGTCACAGAATGGGAGAAAATATTTGCAAATCATTTACAGGTTGTACATAACAAATCCAAAAACCTGAAATCTGAAATGCTCCAAAATCCAAAACTTTTTGAGCATTGGCATGATGCTAAAACAAAATGATTACTGGAGCATTCTGGATTTCGATTTTTAGATTTAGAATGTTTAACTGGGGCTGGGCACAGTGGCTCACACCTGTAATCCCAGCACTTTGGGGGGCCAAGGTGGAGGATCACTTGAACCCAGGAGTTCAAGACCAGCCTGGGCAACACAGTGAGACTTTGTCTCTATTAAGTAGATAAATAGGAGAACGCTTAACTGGTAAGTATAAATACAAATATTCCAAAATCCAAAATCCGAAGTCTGAAACATTTCTGGAACCAAGCATTCTGGATAAATAATACTCAACCTATACCTGGATAAGGGATTAATATCCAGAATATATAAAGAATTCCTACAACAACAAAAATACTCAATAAAAAAATGGGCAAAGGATATGAATAGTATTTTCATATTCATATCATTTTGAATATGAATTCAAAGGAAGACATACAATTGGCCAATAAGCACATGAAAAGGTGCTCAACATCAGTAATCATTAGAGAAATGCAAATCAGAACCACAATGGAGATACCACTTCACAACAGTCACAACAGTAGGATGGCTACAATAAAAAAGCACAATAACAAGTGCTGATGAAGATGTGGAAAAACTGGAATCCTTGAGCACTGCTGGTAGTAATGTAAAATGGTGTAGCTGCTATGGAAAAGTTTGACAGTTCCCAAAAATGTTAAACATAGAACTACCACAAGAGCCAGTAATTCTACTCCTAGGTATATATCCAAAAGAATCGAAAGCAGTCTCAAACATTTATCTGTACAGCAATGCTCACAGTAATATTATTCATAATAGCCTCAAAGTGGAAACAACCCAAGGGTCCATCTACAAATGAATGGATAAACAAAATGTAGTATACACGCACAAAAATATTACCCAGCCATAAAAAGGAATAAATATATGCTACAACATGGACAGACCTTGAAAACATTTTAATGAAATAAACCAGCCACAAATGTACAAATACTGTGATTCCCTGTATACCCAGTACCTACAGTAGTCAAATTTATAGACAGACAGTTGAATGGAGGTAGAAGGAGGAGGAAGGGGGAGGCATTCTTTAACAATATGGAGTTTATGTTGGCAATGATGAACAGTTTGAGGTATAGAGAATAGTGATGGGTACACAGCACTGTGAATGTAATTAATTCCACTGAATTGTACCACTTACGAATAGTTAAAATGGGCAGGGCATGGTGGCCCACGCCTGTAATCCCAGCACTTTGGGAGGTCAAGGTGGGCGGACCATTTGAAGTCAGGAGTTTGTGACCAGCCTGACCAATATGGTGAAACCTCGTCTCCTTCTAAAAATACAAAAAAATTAGCCCGCCATGGTGGCACATGGCTGTAGTCCCAGCTACTCAAGAGGCTGAGGCAGGAGAATCACTTGAACCCCGGAGGCAGAGGATGCAGTGAGCCGAGATCGTACCACTGTACTCCGGCCTGGGTGACAGAACAAGGCTCAATCTCAAAAAAAAAAAAAAAAAAAAGTTATGATGACTGTTATATGTTTCACATTATTTTGCCATAATAAAAAATTGCATCATGGCCAGCATAGTGGCTCACACATATAATCCCAGCACTATGGGAGGCGGAGGCAGGAGGATTACTTGAGTCCAGGAGTTTAAGGCCAGCCTGGGCAACATGGTGAAACCCCATCTCTACAAAATAAAAAAATTAGCCAGGCATGTAGGTGCATGCCTATGGTCCCAGCTACTTGGAGGGCTAAGGTGGGAGGATTGCTTGAGTCCAGGAGGTTGAGGCTGTAATGAACTGTGATTGGCTGTATTGCAGTATCATGCATTAGGGAGGGCAGGTGAGGGGTGATAGGACTAGAGAAAAAAATACTGTCCTTGTAAAGGAATGGAGTTACATCTGGAAGGATACACAAAAACCTGTATGTACTACCTCTAGCGAGAGAACCCCACAGCAAGGGAAATGGAGGACACTCCCACTGCATACTCCCTTTTGTTTCTTTTGAATTTTATACCAGGTGCATGATTATTTATTACAAAAAACAAATCATAAAGCTGGGGGTGAAAAGCCTGCAGATGATAATACCTTCATGTGAAAATGCTGGAAAGGGTCTTAAATATAATCTAGTTCAGTTTTTCACTTTATAGGTGAGGACGTTCAACAGCACACAGATTATTTTATGTTCTTGCCCAAATTCAAATATCTAATCAGGCAAAAAGAGTGGTAAAAGCAGATGCAGATAAAGGAGAGTATATTTTCTAAGAAAATAAAAATAACCACAAAATAAAAGAAACACTTTTTAAGGAATTACATTAACCCTTAATAGTTTAAATTTAAAAAAAAAAAAAAAAAGAATTTTAGCGTTAGACACAGTGGCTCATGCAGCAACTCAGAGGCTGAGGTGGGGCCAGGAGTTTGAGATTGCAGTGAGCAAGCGTATGTTAAAATCATATATGACTATGATATAAAATATACTAACAGGTAAAATTATATAAATGCAAATAGTCTGGAGGCATCATAAAAGTCATAAACAATGCAATGGTGCTCCTATTGCTTCAAACCCAACTTAAAATGAAATGAACAAGTAAGAAAAAAACATGGAAGAAAGAACTTTAGAACTGGTAACAATAGAGGGGAGTGGTAATATTTTACCCATTATCTGAGATAGTCTTGGGACTAATGCTCCTTGGCTGCTCATGTCTTCCCGGCCCTCAGAATACTAACAAATGTCTCACCCAGTGGCTCTGTCCTCGCAGTTTATCATTTGATTCTCCTACTATTTCTTCCCATACAGCAGCTGTTCGGTCAAATGAACAAGAAGCCAACACCTGTCCAAATTCAGGATGGGCCCATGTTACACGCCATACAGATCCACTATGTGTCTAGGGAATCAAAAAGAAAAAAAAAGAGCAAATATTCATTATCCCAGGGCTTTTATTCCCTAAAAACTTAGTTTATTCATATTTCATAAATACTGGTTTTATATGAGGAAACAGAATATAATTTTACTTCTATAAGAGGAGAAAACTGATCAATATAACATGAAAATAAAACATTAAATTCCAGAATGTTTTAACCTTTAGAAAACATTCTATATTTAGCATTGTGGCCCTTCTGGAGGTCCAGTTCTTCTGACATTTTACTAATAAAGAAAAATCTAGCCAGATAAAGTTGATTACTTCCAGTGTTGATCATTGGGAGACTTGCTTCAGAGCTTAGCGTAACTAACGTTTGAAACAAAGGTTCTACATGTCCACCATCTTACTTGCAAATGCTTTTTACAGGAAATACGCACCTAACAAAATAAATAACATTAGATTTATTTGCTCCAAAATCCATAGAGACAGAAAGTAGATTAGTGGTTACCAGGGGCTGGGACAGAGGAAACAAGAGGTGACTGCTAAACGAATACAGGGTTTCCTTTAGAGGCAGTAAACAATGTTCTGAAACTAGAAGTGGTGGTGGTTGCCAATTTAATGAATAGACTCAAAAATCACTAAATTGTATACTTTAAATGGGTGCACATTATCACATTATGATATGTAAATTATAGCTCAATTTAAAAAATACTTTTTTTTCTGACACAGAGTCCCACTCTGTCACCCAGGCTGGAATGCAGTGGCACTATCTCGTCTCACTGTAACCTCCGCCTCCCAGGTTTAAGTAATTCTCCATCTCAGCCTCCCGAGTAGCTGGAATTACAGGCATGGTCCACTACACCCAGTTCATTTTTTGTATTTTTAGCAGAGATCAGGTTTCACCACCTTGGCCAGGCTGGTCTTGAACTCCTGACCTTGTGATCCACCCACTTCAACCTCCCAAAGTGCTGAGATTACAGGTGTGAGCCACCGCGATCAGCCAAATTAAAAAAAAAGTTTTTTAAACTTGCTTCAACCAGGCATAGTGGCTCATGCCTGTATTCTCAGCACTTTGAGTGGCTGAAGTGGACAGACTGCTTGAGCCAAGGGGTTCAAGACCAATCTGGGCAATATGGCAAAACCCCATCTCTACAAAAAATAAGCTAGGCGTGGTGGTATGCACTTGGGGTCCTAGATGCTTGGGAGGCTAAGGTGGGAGGATCACTTGAGCCTGTAAGGTTGAGGCTGCAGCGAGCCAAGATTACGCCACTGTACTCCAGACTGGGTGACAAAGAAGGACCTTGTCTCCAAAAGAAAAAAAAAAAAAAGTATTTGCTTCAAAAGTCTAACAATATTTAGAGATAGAAGCAATAAAATGCTTAAATGATTTTAACTGGCAATACAAATAGACTATTGTAGGAAGAATAAACATAGGGAAGCCCAAATCCTTATACCCCTTATGTTGGCCGAGGGGGGAAGGCGAGGAGGGTGGAGAAGGGATACAAAGGTCTTAAAGCATTGTACTATCAAAAGAATTTGCAAGGTGCTTCTCAGGAAAAATACTGCATAATAACAAACAACATTCAGAAAATGTGTTTCACACTGTATAGCTAACATTTTTTACATTCAACAACACAAAAATAGTTTACCCAATCACTTCTACATGACAACAATATCACCAACTAATGGTACATTTTGCACCCTTATTTTTTAATTTGTTTTGTCCAGTCTTTTCTATGCCATCTTCAATTCCTACTTACACAGGGCTACAAAGTTAAAAATGCACACTAAGGCAGATAAGTTGTATTATATTTACAGTAAAATGCAATCTAAAGAATAAGGTTTGCCCAAAGATGCTCATCACAATAAAATGGAAACTTAAATATCCATTAGTTAAGCAAAATGGTGTATTTACTGGCCGTTAATAAAAAGCCGTTATATAGAACAGTACATATGAAATATGTTAGACTTAAAAGCAAGAGATAAGGGTTTCCTTTTGGAATGATAAAAATGTTTTAAACTAGAAAGAGGTGGTAGTTGCACAACACTGTAAATGAAGTAAATGCCACTTAATTATTTACTTTAAAATTATTAATTTTATGATACGTGAATCTCGCCTCAAAGGGCGGGGGGGAACGTGAATAGACCTTTCACAAAAGAGATATGAATGGCAAATAAGCATATGAAACAATAATCAACATGAGGTATGAAGAAAATACAAATCAAAATCCAATTATCTTGTAGTCACTTCTCAACTACTAAAATGGCTATAATAAAAAAGACAGATATTATCAAGTATAGGTGAGGATGTAGAGAAACTGGAACCGCACACATGGCTGGTGGGCACAGCCACTTTGGAAGTTTAGCAGTTTCTTAGAAAGCTAAGTATGTATAACCCATCAATTCCACTCCTAGGCATCTATCCAAAAGAAATGAAAATATATGTCCACAGAAACTTACGTGGCTTCACATTACTCATAACAGCCAAAAACTAGAAACAACTCAAATGTCCATCAGCTGGTGAATAGACAAAATGTGGCGATATATATACAATGGACTACTCAGTAGTATAAAGGAACAAACTGACACAAGACACAATATGGATGAATCTCAAAACATGCAAAGGGAAAGTGGCCAGACACAAAGGACAATGTATTTCAAAATTCCATTTCTATGAAATTTCTAAAAAGGATAAACCAGGCTGGGCACGGTGGCTCATGCCTGTAATCCCAGCACTTTCAGACGCCAAAGAGGGTAGATCACTTGAGGCTAGGCGTTCGAGACCGGCCTGCCCAACATGGTGAAACTCTGTCTCTACTAAAAATACAAAAATTAGACAGAAGTGGTGGCAGGTGCCTGTAATTTCAGCTATTCAGGAGGCTGAGTCAGGAGAATTGCTTGAATCCAGAAGGCAGGGATTGCAGTGAGCCAACACTGCACCACTGCACTCCAGCCTGGGCAACAAAGCAAGCCTCCAGCAAAGAAAAGAAAAAGAAAAACCTATGGAGACAGAAAATGGATCAAGCCTGGGACTTGTAGTGGGAATAGGACACAAAGGAATTTCTGAGTTTGAGAGAAATGTTCTAAAAATTGATTACAGTGATGAGTACACAACTATGTAAGTTTACTAAAACTCACTGAATCGTACATTTAAAATTGATGACTTTTAAGGTACGAAAATTTTTACTTGGCGGGGCGTGCTGTCTCATGCCTGTAATCCCGGCACTCTGGGAGACTGAGGCAGGTGGATCATCTAAGGTCAGGAGTTTGCAACCAGGCTGGTAACATGGCAAAGCCCCCTCTCTACTAAAAATGCAAAAATTGGCTGGGCGTCATAGTGTATGCCTATAGTCCCAGCTACTCAGGAGTCTGAGGCAGGAAAATCACTTGAATCCAGGAGGCAGAGGTTGTAGTGAGCCGAGATCATGCCACTGCACTCCTGCCTGGGCAACAGAGCAAGACTCCGTCTCAAAAAAAGCAAAATAAAGGAGAAAACTATGTATGAAACATCACAACTATTAAAATATGTAATGGAAAAAAGAATATTCTGAATTACAATTATGTTAGAATGCTACAAAATTACAGATTTTCTTACTCAAATTCTGAGACACACACTTGTTACTTTAATAGTGAAAAACAGTAAAGTGTCTTTCCAGGAAAAGAACTACTGTATAAATGTTATAGTTTCCTCAAAACAATTCATTGATAACTATGAAACAAACAGTAAATATTTATGTATTTTTAATAACTATAAAAATAAATACTAACCTTCCAGCTAGCAGTACAATGCCAATCACCACTTTCACTTTTATCCCAGACCTATAAGAAAATAAAAGGCAGATATTTTATACAAGAATTCTTACAAATTTATACAAAAACCATAAGACCGAATCAGTGTATGAGCAAAGGGGTGAACATATAATTCACAAAAGGATACAAACAGTAAGTAAACATTCATTCATTCAATTAAATATTTATTGAGAGGCCGGGTGTGATGGCTCTTGCCTGTAATCCCAGCACTTCGGGAGGCCAAGGCAGGCAATCGCCTGAGGTCAGGAGTTCAAGACCATCCTGGCCAACATGGCGAAACCCCATCTCTACTAAAAATACAAAAATTAGCTTGGCATGGTGGCACGCACCTGTACTCCCAGCTACTGGGGAGGCTGAGGCAAGAGAATCACTTGAACCCAGGAGGCAGACGTTGAAGTGAGTCAAGGTCACACCATTGCACTCCAGCCTGGGCGACAGAGTGAGACCGTTCTCAAAAAATACATATTTATTGAGAACCTTGACTGTGTCAAGCACTGGGCCAACCACTGAGGGATTCAGGAAACTGAGCTCTAATAGGTAACAGAGACAATTAGTTACAGTCAAATCTCCTTATTCAAGGTAGTTATCTTCTACAGAGTCACCTCTACCACAGACACATTGCTCCTAGGGGAAATACAGGGTTAGGTTCCCGTGAGTCTCTGGCCGACATTTTTGTCAACCAATCAGTACGTGATGTGGTTTTATGTGTGTTTCTGTTTAAAGGTAACTTATTTAACACACAGTAATGCAAAAATCACTGCACTTTTAGATCATGAAAAACACCTGTTTACAGTACAAGCCAAAATAGAGTAACACCTGGTTTCACCTCCACAAGATATGTCTGTCCTGAGACTCAAGCTTTTCATCATTCTGCACACATGCACAAAGGACTGCAAAAGCAGTGTGGATACTGATTTGGGGGGTACAAGTAAATTTCAGAGAATAGACAAATTCAAAAAAAATACAGAATCTACAAACAACAGGCTCAACTGTACATGTAACAAATGACAAAGCAAAAATATTGAAACCAGGCATGGTGGTTCACACCTGTAGTCCCAGCTACTCAAGAGGCTGAGACAGGAGGGATTACTTTAGTCCTAGAGTTTGAGGCTATGATCACATCCATGAATAGCCATTGCACTCCAGCCTGGGCAACATAGCAAGACTCCTTCCCCAAACAAAAAATTGAACCTTATTACCCAGAAAAAATATAGAATACAGTAAGAAGGTGCCAATTGCACCTGTTAAAAATGTAACGAGGGCAATGACACTATCAAATCAATACTATCACTAGCAGTATAAAACGGTACGACCTGCAAGGTAGCAACTTGTCAATTCTCTTCAATAGCTTTTAAAATATTCACTAATTTCTCTTCTGAAATTAGCCTAAGAAAATCATTCAAAATACATAAAATGCTAATGAGAATTTTCAGTGCAACACTATTTCTGACAAGACATATATGTATTTACACATATTATACCATGATGATTTAAAACGTTAAAGGAAAACCAGAGGAAATCAAATATTAACAAAAATTATCAATGAGCCTATGAGTAATTTTTTCACTTTCTAAAAAGAAAAATATACTACTTGCTCAAATAAAATATACATACAAAGAAATAAATACATGGCTCCTACATTTAAAAAAAAAGTACTCTGGAATAAGTGGACATAACAGGGCTGGGCAAGGTGACTCACACCTGTAATCCCAGCACTCTGGTAGGCTGAGGTGAGAGGATCATTTGAGCCCAGGGGTTCAAAACCAGCCTGAGCAACATCACAAGATCCTGTCTCTACAAAAAAAAATTTTTTTAATTGGCCAGGCGTAGCGGTGTGTGCCTGCAGTCCCAGCTACTGGGGAGGCTGAGGTGGCAGGATCACTTGAACCTGAGAGGTTGAGGCTGCAACAAGCCAAGATCGTGCCACTGCACTCCAGTCTGGGTAACAGAGCCAGACCTCGTCTCAAAAAAAAAAAGAAAATATTATCCTAAGTAAAATAAACCAAATATAAAAGGATAAATATTCTATGATTCTACTTACCTGATGTACCTAGAACATGCAAATTCATAGAAAGCAGAGGAATAGAGGTTACCAGAGGATGGGGTGGAGGAAATCGGGTGCTCTCGGGTACAGTTTCAGTTTAGGATGATGAACAGGTTGTGGAGACGGACAGTGATGGTGCTGTGTAGCAATGTAAATGCTGTACTCAATGCCACTGAATTCTACACTTTAAAACGATTAACGTAGTTTATTACAACAAAAATAAACTTTTTAAAAAACCTAAACCTTTTAAGAATTGCAACACTATTTATAAAAAGTTTATCTTTGAGAGATCACTGGTATCAAACTCGAATGTGAAAAAGGAAAAACTGTCCTTTAGATTTTCAGTTACTCTGGAGTTGTCAAGAATCAAATAATCCGCACTCCAGCTTTCACTCATCCTGCAATACATCTGGGAGGTTTCTAAATCCCAAATAGCATCCCCACATTAGAAATTCTCTTTGTCGGAAGCGTCTACAGATGTTTACGAGAGCTTCAAGAAACAAACACTCCGAGTCCTAGGCAGCAGGCAGGGAAGTCACTGGATGTAAATGGTTTGTGTTTTCCTTTCTTGGCGAAACAAAGTGAGCTTCGGCTCGGAACCCACGAAGAAAACCATGCGCCCTGGTGAGAGAACACCGGCGGGGCACAACACTCAAGACAACGCCAGCCAAGCAAAGACTCCCACCAGGTCCCCGGGTGAACAGCACGGCAAGGCCCAAGACTCCCAGGCGGCCAGTGGGACGCCGGCGGGTTCCTGCCCGCATCCAGGGAAACCCGGCCGGTGCAAGCGCCCGGCGTCCCCTGCGGGCGGGAGCGCGCACGTGGTACCAGCTGCGCAGGCGCACGGGAGCGCGGCCCGCGAGTCCGCCGTGACCCCACAATGCGCGGGCGGGGAGGGCTTCCGCCGCATCCAGCCAGAGCTAACCCGCCACCCCAGAGCTTCCAGCTAAGTCAATGAAATCAAGTCATAGCCCCGTTTCCCCCGTCGCCCACCCCACTCTCCCCCCTTCCGGGCTCGGCCCCGCACGCAAGCGCCCCGCGCACCTTAACGCTCTGATCGCTGGAGCAGGTAGCCATCCGCCTCCCGTGGAAATCGAAAGAGACATCGTGGATGAGATCCTTGTGGTCGGCCGCGATGCTACGCGCCACAAACATGGTTTCCGCCGGGCCCGCGCCTCCGAAGAGGGCAGTGACGGCGGCAGCAGCGGCGGCGGCGGCGCGGGGCTCGCAGCCTAGCCAAACTTAGCCGCCCCGGCGCGCACGGCGCGTGCGGCCCACGCCCCCGCACCGCCCCTGCCCATTAATCCCCGCCCACACCCCCGGCCCGTCGTCCCGCGCCCTACCGCCTGTCCCTCAAGCCCCGCCCCACCCGCTGGCCCGTCAGGCCTCGCACCGCCCCCTGGCCCGTCAAGCCCCGCCTACCCCGACCCCCCCCCCAGCCCCGTGCCTCGCCCCGCCCTCCCGTCCCCTCCAGCCCCACCCTCCCGCCCCCTCCAGCCCCACTCTCCCGCCCCCTCCAGCCCCACTCTGTACCCCCTCGGGTCAAGCCCCGGCCTGCCCCCGGCACATCAGGCCCTGCGAGCCTGGTGAGAGTGCTCCCCGGCTCCGACAGTTCAGCGGCAGAGGCTGCTCTACAAAATGGGAATTACCTATGCTGAGATGCAGGTAGTAAGAGCTTCTCGGTATTGTAAGGTTAGCCAAGCGAAAGGAGAATAGACCCAAAGTCAGGCAAGCACGTTTTATTAACCTGCCGGGCTGCCCCATAACAGTCAGAGGAGGCAGCCCTGAGCTTACAAAACAAGGGATTTATATGGGGTGAGAGGGGCATAAGGGAGTTTCAGGACTGAGATAATTTAACAGCTTGTAACAGGCACAGACATAGTTTGTTAACTTGTGACAGACTTACGTTATCCTGTGACTTTTGTGGCGGTGGTTTTTTAAAAAACTCAGGATTTTACAGTTATGTGTCAAACAGGAATTTACAAGTATGGATAACAAACATTTGTTTTCCCTGTCCTTCCCCAAGCTGCCCGGATGGCTGTAATCAAGCTTTGCTTAATTGTAGCACGTCTTATACCCTTGACGTGGCGCGGTTCTGAAATGCAGCTGCAGAGCAATGGTGGGGGGAGGAGTTAGCTTGCGCGGAGGGGATTTTCTGAGGCAGCTTGTACGTGACATTCCAGCCTTTTAATAGGTAATAGAGGAGGGGCAACGTCTGGGGAGAGACTGGATTGTAGGGATTGCAGTTCCCGGAATATTCTTGGAGCAGCATTGTATCTTGTATTGTTTCATGGGTGAAAGATTTAATGCGGCCCTGTAAAAACTGGGTGAGGAGCTGTAAGAAGCAGGGGCCAAATGCTAGAAGTAGGAAAAGGGTTATAGCAGAACCTAGAAGGGGTAATAGCCAGGGTGCCCAGGAATTACAGAACTACTAGGACCAGGTGAACTGTCTTTAAGTTTTTGTGCTTGGTCTTTGAGTTTTCATTCTGAGCCAGCTTGTCCCTAACAGGTATAACGTACAAATGAAGAAAGATGAAGAAGTGGACTGTGTCGCACGTTATTCGGTCCTGAATCATTTACGTCTACGTTTGGATGTGTTCCCCCATCCCCACCCCCAGACACATGCGAGGCGCGCGAAGCAAGTGGAAGCCAACCGTGAGTTTGGTCAGGGGCTGTACTTGGCCGGCTGGGAGGGCTGAGAAGCAGGGAGGACAAGGGAGACGCCTGAGGGGATGACAGGGTGTCCAGACTCAGCCGCTGAAGAGCAAAGGCTGGAGGGGGGAGGAAAGGATCAGAAGTAGTGGTTTAAATGTGTCAAGATTTCACCAGTAGAACAGGCCTGGGGGTGCTAGGAGCCACCAAGGGGGTAGGAAAATAGTAGAAATTAGAAGAGTGCCGGTAAAAACGTGTCACCCAGGTTGGGCACAGTGGCTCACGCCTGTAATTCCAGCACTTTGGGAGGCCGAGGCAGGCGGATCACAAGGTCAGAAGTTCGAGACCAGCCTGGCCAACATGGTGAAACCCCGTCTCTACTAAAAATACAAAAATTAGCTGGGCGTGGTGGTATGTGCCTGTAATCCCAGCTACTTGGGAGGCTAAGGCAGAGAAATTGCTTGAATCCGGGAGGCAGAGGTTGCAGTGAGCCAAGATTGCCCCATTGCACTCCAGCCTGGGCGACAGAGCAAGACTCTGTCTCAAAAATAAATAAATAAACAAAAAACATGTCACCCCAGAGGAAGGAAGCTGCTGGAAGAGGTGGGTGGCCTGCTAGCCAGGACCCAGAGTCCTCCAGGGAAAAAGTAGTGAAGAGGGCCAGAGTCCCTGGGGGGAGGCCTGGCTCAGATCAAGGATTCTGCCAAGACCGGAATATGAAGGAGCCTCTTCTGAGGACGCCCACGACTCAGGAGGGTTGCTTATCAGGAAAAGGCATTCTAGAGGGCATAGTGGTAAAGTTAGGAAGGGAGACAGTGGAAGCTTGTGTCAGCGGAGTGAAAGTACAGGAAAAAAAAAAAATACTTAAAATGAGGCTGCAGAAGGGACTTTTTAGATTTTGGCCAGGAATGACAAGAATGTGAAGTATGGTAAGATTAGCAGGCTGGAAAGTTTTTAAAATAATTAGTCCCAGCTGTTCCCTGATGGATTGAACAGATACCTGCAAATAGAGGTGGCCAAATGACCTGAACTTTTATAACTATAAATAAGATTTTATTGCTACTTTAAGAGGTGGGCCCCTCCTCTTATGATAACTGGTAACAGCTATAACTTTTTTGAAGGTCAGAGACAGTCATTTCCAAAGAAAGTACTCACCATAAAAGTCCAATCAAAATAAATTATAAAAATACCAGAACAGTTTAAAAATTATTTGAATTAAATTTAAATACAGACAATAAACAGATCAGTGGTTGCCAGAGATTAGCAGAATGGGAGTGAAGTGTTGAATTAGGTGAAACAGTGGATTTCTAAAGACAGACTAATTTTTAGAACAATTTCAGGTTCACAGCAAAATTGAGCAGAAAATATAGTTCCCATATACATGCCTACCGCCCCACAGGCATAGCATCCTCCACTGTCAACATCCCATACCAAAGTGGTACATCAGTGAACCTGCATTGACACATCACCCAAAGTTCAGAGTTTGCATTAGGGTTAACTCTTGAAGTTTTATTCTGTGGGTTTTGGCAAATATATAATGACATGGATCCACCATTATAGTATCTCACAGAATAGTTTCACTGCCCTGAAAATCTTTAGTGCTCCTGTTCATCCCTTTCTCCTTGCAACACCCTTTTCCAGAATGCCATATAGTGGGAATCATGGAGTGGCTAGCCTTCTCACATTGGCTTCTTTCCTTATAGTAATATGTATGTAAGCTTTCTCCATGTCTTGTCTTTTTTTTTTTTTTTTTTGAGGCAGAGTTTCCCTCTTGTTACCCAGGCTGGAGTGCAATGGCGCGATCTCGGCTCACCGCAACCTCCGCCTCCCGGGTTCAGGCAATTCTCCTGCCCCAGCCTCCTGAGTCGCTGGGATTACAGGCACGCGCCACCATGCCCAGCTGATTTTTTGTATTTTTAGTAGAGACGGGGTTTCACCATGTTGACCAGGATGGTCTCGATCTCTTGACCTCGTGATCCACCCGCCTCGGCCTCCCACAGTGCTGGGATTACAGGCGTGAGCCACCGCGCCCGGCCTCAATAGTACATTTTTTTTTAAGTGCAAAATAATATTCCATTGTCAGGCTATAACAATGTTTATTCATTCACCAACTAAAAGGCAACCCGGTTTTTTCTGTGTTTGGGCAATTATGAATAAAGCTCTTACAAACATCTGTGTGCAGGTTTTTATGTGGACATGTTTTCAACTCCTTTGGGTAGATACCAATGAGTGTGATTGCCGAATCATATTGTAAGAGTAAGTTTAGTTTTGTTTTGGGGGTTTTGTTTTGTTTTCTGAGACAGGGTCTCACTCTGTCATGGCTTAGGCTACAGTACAGTGATGTAATCATGGCTAACTGCAAATTTGAATTCCCTGGGTTCAGATGATCCTCCCACCTCAGCTTCCCAAGTAGCTGGGACTATAGGCACAGTGCTACCATGCCCAGCTATTTTTCTATTTTTTTTTAGAGATGGGGTTTCACCGTGTTGACTGGGCTGGTCTCAAACTCCTGGACTCAAGCAGTCCTCCCACCTTGGCCTCCCACAGTGCTTGGATTACAGGCATGAGCCGCTGTGCCTGGCCTAGTTTTATAAGAAACTTACAAACTGTCTTCCAAAGTGGTTGTATCAGCCAGGCCAGGTGGCTAACCCCTGTAATACAGCACTTTGAGAGGCTGAGGCAAGCAGATTATTTGAGCTCAGGAGTTCAAGACCAGCCTGGGTAACATGGCAAGACCCCCGTCTCTACTAAAAATACAAAATAACAGCCAGAGTGGTGGTGGAGCAAGATTATGCCACAGCACTCCAACCTGGGCAACACAGGGAGACACTATCTAAAAAAAAAAAAAAAAAAAAAAAAGAATTTAACATGGGAAACTGATTGCAAATATATCGGAGGGGTTAATTAAGAGCAAAAAGGGAACATGTGAGATTACCCAGAGAGTAGTAACTATGAGAAACTTTGGGCTGGAAGTGTGAAAGGGAAAATAGTTTTGCCCAGACTATCATTGACTTTGAGGCTGCTGATGTTGGCATCTTTATCATCAACAGGCAGAAAGCCAGGAGCCAATACTCCAGCTTACACTGCAGGCATTCAATAGAGCAACAGCCACAGGAACCCACAAGCTCTGAACAGCTGAGGTTCCTGGAGCCTCTCTACTACTGCTGGAGCTAGGATTACGTGCTGCTGCTATTGCTGCTGTTCAAATCCGTCTCCTGAGCAGGAAGCCAAGCTCTAGGTTAACTTCATTGTAGGTTATTTATTTATTTATTTATATTTTTGAAATGGAGTCTCGCTCTGTCACCTAGGCTGGAGTGCAGTGGCACAATCTCGGCTCACTGTAACCTCCGCCTCCAGGGTTTCAGCGATTCTAGGAGCCAGCTTAAATAGAAATTGGAAGATTCCTATGACGATTTTGTAGAAGATTCCATGAAGATTTTGTAAATCATGTTCACAAAATTTTATCATCCTGATGCCTTTGGTGATGATGGGTATAGTCAATTTTAACTACCTTTTAAAATTATTTTATTCATGGCCTCTGCAGATGTTTTACCTTTTGTCAAGCCAATTTTAGTCATTTATATCTTCCTTTAAAACATCATCCATTTTGTGCTGGGCATAGTGGCTCATGCCTGTAATCCCAGCACTTTGGGAGACCGAGTTAGAAGGATTACTTGAGCTCAGGAGTTCAAGATCAGCCTGGGCAACATAGTGAGACCTCATCTCTAAAAAAACAGAACAAAACAAAACAACAACAACAAAAAATTAGCCAGCCCGTGGTGGCACATGCCTGTATTTCAGCTACTTAAGAGGCTGAGGCAGGAGGAGGATCACTTGAGCCTAGGAGGCAGAGGTTGCAGTGAGCTGAAATCGTGCCACTGCTCTCCAGCCTGGGCAACAGAGTGAGACATTGTCTCAAATAAATAATCAGCTATTTCACTGAAACATTTAAATGTATTAATATAGAGTTATATATGTTAATTTCTTGCAATTTTTAAAGTCTCCATATCTGATGTAAGGCTTTTTTTATTTCCATTGCTTTTGTCTTACTACCTTTCTTCTTAACATTTTACTCTTTAACGAAGTATAATACACATTCCAAAATGTACACATAACATAAATGTACAGGTCACTGGATTTTCACAAACTGAACACATCATGTAGTGTCATCACCTTGAGAAAGGGAGCATAATTCATACCATGAAGCTCCTATGCTCCCTTCTGGTCTTTACACCCCTCCCCCAGCAGTAACTGCTGACCTCCTTCCTAACAGCAAAGGTTGGTGTGATGATTAATTTCATATGTCACCATGGTTAGGCTATGAAGCCCAGTTCTTTGCTCAAACACTAGTCTAGTTGTTGCTATGAAGGCATTTTATAGATGTGATTAACATCTGCAATCAGTTATGTTCTGTGAAAGGGTCATATTAATATGTATAAAGCAACCCCCAGATGCCAAAGGAGCTGGGAAATCAAAGAAAGAGGCAGACAAGTCCAGTTTTTCAGGTTTTGGGTGACTTATTAGGGGATTATATTTATTGACTTATTAGGGGAACTTACAGACCAAAGTCTTGGGCCTTGCAGTTTTGGGTGGCTGCAAGACAGGTGGATCTCCACACCACAACCCACCAGACACACAGCTTATATCTTGGGATAAAAGCATATGTGCTCTCGAAGGAATGTATAGGTGGCTATGGGTGTCATAGCCTGTAATTTCTGCAACAACAAAGAAACTTACGATAAATAGGTGTTCCTACATAAATAGTAATACATCAACTAGACATTTTGGAGGCATTCTCAAACTCAGGGTTAAGTGGGAACTTACATGGCCAATTGCCATTTTAAATTGGCTGGGGGTGGTTCCTCATGCCTGTAATCTCAGCACTTTGGGAAGCTAAGGCAGGTAGATCACCTGAGATCAGGAGTTCAAGACCAGCCTGGCAAACATGGTGAAACTCCGTCTCTATGAAAAATACAAAAATTAGCCAGGCCTGGTGATGGGCGCCTGTAATCTGGGCTACTCAAGAGGCTGAGGCACAAGAATTGCTTGAGGCCGGGCGCGGTGGCTCGCACCTGTAATCCCAGTACTTTGGGAGGCCGAGGCGGGTGGATCACGAGGTACATGGTGAAACCCCGTCTCTACTAAAAATACAAAAAATCAGCTGGGCATGGTGGCGCATGCCTGTAGTCCCAGCTACTCGGGAGGCTGAGGCAGGAGAATTGCCTGAACCCAGGAGGCGGAGGTTGCGGTGAGCCGAGATTGCGCCATTGCACTCCAGCCTGGGTAACAAGAGTGAAACTCCGTCTCAAAAAAAAAAAAAAACAAAAACAAAAAAAAAAGAATTGCTTGAACTGGGAGGTAGACATTACAGTAAGCTGAGATCACACCACTGCACTCCAGCCTGGGGGACAGAGCAAGACTCTGTCTCAAAAAATAAAAATAAAGTCACTCTTGTCCCTACACATTGCCTTTAAGTAAAGGAGATTAACCTTGATAACGTAGCTAGGCCTCATGCATCCAATTGAAGGCCTTAAGATAAAAGACTCAGGTTTCCCAAAGAAAAAAAGAATTCTGCCTCAAGTCTGTAACACAGAAATCCTTCCTGAGTTCCTAACCTATCCTACATATTAGAGACTCAAGACTGCAGCATCATTTCCTGACCCATACCCAGCCCACCAGCTTATCTAATGATTTTAAACTTAACAGGCTGCACAATCACATGAGCCAATTCCTTTTAAGATAAATCCCTTTTGTATTCCTATAAATAAGAAAGATATAAATGTTATCTTGTTTCTCTGTAGAACCCTAACTGATACAGATTTTATCCTGAGAGTAGTTCTGGAAGAAGAGAATCTGAAGGATGAGTTTTTGGAATTGGCTCTGTGGTTTCTGGAATTGGTTTTCTAATCTGGTTGGATTTTAAGGAACTAGTGACTCTACTTCCCATGGTAAAGGGAGCACCTATAGTGTGATATGGCAGTAGAGATACCCAAAATACCGCCATTGGACACTTCTACTCAAATATTTATGAGAGGCAAGGTTCTGGGTGGCCACATATTTGCCACCTTAGAACATTTTTATCAAATTAATGAGTATAATGAAATTGGCTGGTGCTGTTAATTGTGCTTGACAAGATAAGGAAAGAAAGGATGAACTCAGGGCTTCAAACTCCCAGCTCAACCACTACATAACTGAGGGGAAAGTTTGTGTATCTTCCCAAAAACAAACAAACAAACAAAAAATACTTATCCCCTGTAGCCACAAAGCTGACATATCTGAAAGCCAAATCCAGAGTCTCATCTGCAAGTGGTTGAATTATGACACAAATTGAATTCCCAACTTCACAGGGAGCCTCTGCTGTTAAAGTAATGGCAAGGATTGGGAAGGAAAGGGTCCTGAATTTTTTCTCTCTCCTAGAGCCTTCATATGAGGACACCTAAAAATTTGAATGGGGACTTGTGGGCAGATCCTGGTGAAGCTGGGGATATTGAGCTCCTAAATTCTGCGGAATATTCCCTGCCAGTAGAAGCAAGCCTTCCACCCCATCTGAAATATTGACCCTGCTCTCCCTCAGGAGCCTGTGATGGCCTCTTCTGAGGTAGCTGCCTCAGAAGACACTGCTGATTCCTCAGGACCTACCCTAGACACCCCTCTTTGCCTTTGGAACTATGACAAGACTCAAGTCCCTGCAGGCCATGAAAGGTAAGATACAAAGTGTGACTCAGAAGGTTCACTGTTCTCCAAAAGAACTGCATGATTCCAATTTGTACAGACAAATCTGGGGAATGTCTGTGGGAGTGAGTGTTAGGGTGTGGGGTAATGATGCAAGGAACATGAAGTTGGATCAGGCGTAATTTATTAAGATAGGCCCACTAGTTAGATCTTCTGGATTCAGTGTTGCACCTCCAGGGCTTAGTAAAGGCCTCTGACTGTTTGGTTTGGCTGAAGCATGGACTGAAAGGTGGCCCACACTAAATAAAGTTGAAATGCCGGAGCTGACTTTGTGCACTGTAGAGGAAGGTATAGAGAGGTTGCAATGTTAGATTTCACATGTAACACCTGCTCACCCACTCTAGGAGCATCCAGAGGACACACCTTTGACCATGACTGAGAAATAAATCTGTGATGGGAGCCCCTGCACCATTGAGGAGCTCTAGTGGTTGCTTTTCCTTGTAGGTCAGAAATTGTAGTGGGATCTATTGTCACAGAACTGGAGATCCTTAAATGCAGTGCAGGTAACAGGTTTCTGGGATAGCAGGGGACAAGTGACAACACTTAATTGCCAAAAGCAAGGAGAGCATGTTTACCATAATGGGCACCAGAGTCAAAGCAATAATAGCCTGACTGGCCTCAGAGACCTATGGCATTGGCTATTGATCGTGGTGTCCCTAGAACAGAGTAGACGGACAGCCTATTAAATTCTTACTTGATCTGTATAATTAGAAGAGATCTAGGTCAAGTGAACAAACACCTAACTTGAATCATAAAAACAGAGAGTCACAGCTCTTTACTCAATTCCCAGAATTGAACCAGTTTACAGACCTAGAATCCCTGAGTGAAGGGAAAGCGAAGTCACCTTGAAGAAGGACCCTGCTATACTGTCAAAATGTATACTGTTAATCTTCCTCTCAGGTGTCTCCAAAGGGCCCTATGGTCTTTTACCATGGATTATACTTTGTGGAAAAGAAAATGATCAGACTTTTGTGGGATTATTGAACTGGCTGTGAACTCACACTGTTTCCAGGAGGCCCAAAACCACTGTTGTCACCATTCAGAGTAGGGGCTTATGGAGGTAAGATGGTCAGTGGAGCCCAGGTCCATCTCACTTTGGGCCAGTGGGTCCCTAAACCCATCCAGTGGTTACTTTCCCAGTTCCAGGATGCGTAACTGGTATAGACCGGTTACTCAGCAACTGGCAGAATCCCCACACTGGTTCCTGTGGAGTGAGGGATATAGTGGTAGGAAAAGCCAAGTGGAAGCCACTAGAACTGCCTCTTCCAAGGGAAAATGGTAAACCAAAAACAATCCCAAATTTCTGAAGGGATTTCAGAGATTAATGTCATCATCAAGGACTTGAACAAAACAAGGATGGTGACTTCCACCACATCCCTTCAATGAGCTCATTTGGCCTGTGTAGAAAAAAAGATGGATCTTGGAGAATGACACCTGTAAACTTAACCAGGTGGCCACCCCAATTGCAACTCTGGTTCCAGATGTGGTTTCATTGCTTGAGTAAATTAACACATGTGCTGATACCCCGGTACTTGATGTGCAGCTATTGATTGGCAAATGCTTTTTCCTCAATGTCTATTAACAAAGATTGCCAGAAGCAATTTGCTTTCAGCTGGCAAGGCCGGCAATACACCTTTACTGTTTTGTTAGTCTGCGCAGGCTGCCATAACAAAATACCACAGGACTGGGTGGTTTAAACAACAGAAATTTACTTTTTCTTTTTTTTTGAGATGGAGTCTTGCTCTGTTGCCCAGGCTGGAGTGTAGGGTGTGATCTTGGCTCACTGCAACCTCCACCACTGTTCAAGCGATTCTCCTGCCTCAGCTTCCCAAGTAGCTGGGATTACAGGCGTACACCACTGCAACCAGCTAATCTTTGTATTTTTAGTAGAGACAGGGTTTCACCAAGTTGGCCAGGCTGCTCTTGAACTCCTGACCCCAGATAATCCACCTGCTTTGGCCTCCCAAAGTGCTAGGATTACAGGTGTGAGCCACTGCACCCAAGAAATTTACTTTTTTTTTTTTTGGTCTTTTTGTTTTTTTTCCTTTTTGTGGAGAACGCGGTCTCACTATATTGCCCAGGCAGGTCTCGAACTCCTGGGCTCAAGCTATCCTTCCACCTCTGCCTCCCTAAGAGCTGGGATTATAGGCGTGAGCCACAGCACCCAGCAGAAACTTACTTTTTAACAGTTCCAGAGGCGAAAAGCCCCAGATGGAGGTGCTAGCAGATTTGAATTCTACTGAGGACTCTCTTCTTGGCTTGTAGACTGCCACCTTTTCACTGTGTCCTCACAAAGCCTTTGTTCTGTGCTTGTGTGTAGAGAGAAATCTCTGTTGTCTCTCTCTTCTTATAAGGTCACCAGTTCTTTTAGATAAGGGCCCCCCCCTTATGATCTTATTTAATTTTAATTACCTCCCTAAAGGCCCTCTCTCCAAACATAATCAGATTGGGGGTTAGGACTTCAACATAAGAATTTGGAAGAATACAATTCAGTCCATAACAACTGTCTTATATCAGGAGTATATTAAACTCTCCATTCTTAAAAATGACAGTCTTCAGGGATTTTGATCACCTTTCTTTTCCACAAGATATCATACCAGTTTAGTACATTAATGGCATTATGCAGATTGGATCTGATGAGCAAGATGTAGCAACTGCTCTAGACTTAGTGGTAAGAAATGCGCATGTCAGAGAATGGAGAATAAATCCAACTAAAATTCAGGGGCCTTCTCCCTCAGTGAAATTTCTAGGGATCCTTGCTTACAAAATGAAAGATAAGTTGTTGCATTTGGCTCCTCTTATAATCAAAAAAAGAGGTACAATGCCTGTTTGGATTTTGGAGGCAAGACATTCCTTGTTTGGGTGTGCCACTCTAGCTCATCAACCAAGTGACCTGAAAAGTTGCTAGTTTTGAGTGGAGCCCTTGGCCCCTAGTCCAACTACACAATCTTATCTGTTCCAGCTCCCATCTATGGCCTCATGCAGAGTTTCCTACAATCAGTTTACTGAGAAAGATAAGACACGGATATACCAGGCATGTAGATGGTTCTGCGTGATATGCAGGCACCCCAATATGGACAACTACAATATAATAGTCCCTTACTGGGACATCCCTGAGAAACAGTGGTGAAGGAATTTGTCCCAGTGGGGGCAATCCCCAACTTTGGGCGATGCACCCAGTGGTTCCCTTTGTTTGGAAGGAGTTATGACAAGAGGTAGAATTGTATATTCTCTTACGAGATTTTGTTAGATGATCAGGGACTTGGAAAGAACATCATTGAAAATTAGTGACAAAGAAATTTGATGTCTCTGTCTTTGAATGAATAAAAAAATGTGAATATATTTGTGTCCCATATGAATGCCCACCAGAGACATTTACAGAAGAGGATTTTAATAATAGGATAGAATGACCTGTTCTGTGGATACCAGGCAGCCTCTTTCCCTAGCTACTTCTGTCATGCTCAATGAGTTCATGAACAAAGCAGCCATGGTGGCAGGGATGGAGGTTGCACACTGATTCAGCAGTGTGGACTTCCACCCCCTGTGGCCAACCTGGCTACACCCACCACTGAGTGCCCAATCTGTCAGCAGTAGAGACCAACCCTGAGTCTCCAATATGGCACCATTCCCTGGTTGATCAGCCAGCCACAGGTGGCGGGTTGATTACATTGGAATCCTTCCATCATAGTAGGTTGATATTTTGTCCTTTCTGGAGTTGACACTTAGTCTGAATATGGATTTGTTCTCCCTGTACACAATGCCTCTGAACTATCCGTGGATTCCCAGAATGCCATATTCACCCCTGTGGTAGATTCCACAAAGCATGGCTTCTATTCTCTTTAGCCTGTTCTATTCTGTTCACTATTCTATTCAGCCTGCTGCTTCAGGATGGTGGGGAACATGGTAAGACCAGTGACTTCCGTGAGCCAGTGCCCATTGCTGCATTTTTTTTTTTCTGTGATGTGAGTGCTTTGATCAGAACAGTGAAATGGCCTTTTGAGGACATAGATACAGTGCCAGGTAGGTGGTAATGCCTTGCAAGCCTGGGGCAATTTTCTCCAAGAGGCTGTATATGCTCTAAATTAGTACCCAAGGGGCTGGGCATGATGGCTTATGCTTGTAATCCCAGCACTTTGGGAGGCTAAGGTTGGGGGATCACTTGAGCCTAGGAGTTAGAGACAAGCCTGAGAGACATAGCAAGGCCCTGCCTCTACAAAAAAAAAGGTTAAAAATTAGCTGGGTGTGGTGGCATGTACCTGTACTCCCAGCTACTCAGGAAGCTGATATGGGAGGGTCACTTGAGCCCAGGAGGTTGAGGATACAGTGAGCCTTGATCATGCCACTGCACTCCAGCTTAGGTGACAAAGGAAGACCCTGTCTCAAAATAAATAAATATAAGTTAGCATCCAATATAGGATGCTGCTTCTCCCATAGCCATGATACATAGGTCCAGGAATCAAAGGATGGAAATGGAAGTGGTACCACTCACTATTACCCCTATGCTGACCCACTAGCAAAATGTTTTCTTCATGTCCTGTGACCTAATGCACTGCTGATCTAAAAGTCTTAGTTCCAAAAGGAAGCATGCTTCCACCAGGAAACACAATAATGATTCTACTGAACCAAACACAACGATGATGCCACTGAACTCTAAGTTAAGATGCCACCCTGCCACTTTGGGATCCTCAGGCCTCTGAGTCAACAGGCTAAGAAGGGAGCTGCTATGTTTCCTGGGATGATTGGTCCTGGCTACCAAGGGAAAATTAGGCTGCTACTCCTCCACGGAGCTAAGTAAGAATGCATCTGGAGTACAGGAGATCTCTTAGTACTCCTGTGATTAAAGTCAATGGAAAACTATAACAACCTAATTCAGGCAATACTACTAAATGGTCCAAACTCTTCAGGAAGGTTTGGGTCACCCCACCAGGTGAAGAACCAAAAACAGCTGAGGTGCTTGCTGAGAGCAAAGG